CAGTTAAATGGCATCAAAGTATAGTTAGCCCCTAAAAAGATGGAATAGGACAGTGGCGGCAATCATGAGCACAAGCCAAAAAAACACTGTGAGGATGGCAAAAGAATGGGCAGCATTTCATTACATTGATCATAGAGTTGCTATAAGTCAAAACCCACTCAACATCACCTATCAACAAAAACAACAGGACTTGTGCATCTAAAAATGTGCTGAAGAAGACCTTAAGAGAAACTACCATTAGTTTAGAGCAGTGGTTCCCAACATGTGCTGCGACCCCTTTGGGGGTCCGAATGATTCTTTCACAGCGGTGGCCCATTCATAGCAGTACAAAAATTAGAGTTGTGAAGTAGCAACGGAAATAGTTTTATGACTTGGCAGTCATCACTACATAAGGAACGGTATCAAAGGGTTGTGGCATTAGGAAGGTTGAGAACAACTGCCCTAGAGGAAGACAAAAATCTTGGTACAGGAGAAGGACAGCAAAAGAGAGGCAGCCCCAGAAAGATGTATTAGAACAGTGGCTGGAACAATGTGCACAAGCAAAGAACTACTATGAGGATGGCACAGGACAGGCAACGTTTCATCAAACTGTGCATAGAGTTGATATGAAACAAAACCCACTGATGGCACCTAACAACAATAACAGGACTTGTGGGTCTAACAATATGCGGAACTCTATCTTAAGAGAAATGCCTCAGTTTAGAGAAGTGGTTCTCAACCTGTGGGTCGTCACCTTTTTTTGGGGGGTCGAACGACCCTTTCACATGGGTGGACCGATTTATAACAGTAGCAAAATTACAGTTATGAAATAGCAATGGAAATAATTTTATGGTTGAGGGGGCACCACTACATTGGGAACTGTATGAAAGGGTCGTGGAATTAGGAAGGTTGAGAACCACTGTCCTAGAGGAAGACACAAATGTTGGTATAGTAGAAGGGCAGCAAAAGAGAGACATCCCCTACAAGATGGAATAGCACAGTGGCTGCAGCAATGAGCACAAGCAAAGAACCACTGTGAGGATGGCAGAGGACAGGGCAGCGTTTCATTATATTGTGCACAGAGCTGCTATGAGCTGAAATCAACTTGGCGGCCCCTAAAAACAATAACAACAGGACTTTTGCTTCTAACAATATCCTGAAGACCTTAAGAGAAACTCCTGTTAATTTGGAGCAGTGCGGGAGGTGTTGGAAACTCTGCTCTGACCGTACAGTTTGTTCAAAGAATTTTTGTTGAAAAATATGATCCTACGATAGAAGATTCTTACAGAAAGCAAGTTGAAGTAGATGCACAACAGTGTATGATTGAAATCTTGGATGCTGCAGGAATGGAACAATTTACAGCAATGGGGGATTTGTACATGAAAAATGGACAAGGTTTTGCATTAGTTTATTCCATCACAACACAGTCCACGTTTAATGATTTGCAAGATCTGAGAGAACAGATTCTTTGAGTTAAGGATACTGATGATGTTCCAATGATTCTGGTTGGTAATAAGTGTGACTTAGAAGACGAAAGAGTCGTAGGAAAGGAACAAGGTCAAAATCTAGCACGACAATGGAACAACTGTGCATTCTTAGAATCTTCTGCAAAGTCAAAAATAAATGTTAATGAGATCTTTTATGACCTAGTTCAGCAAATTAACAGAATAACTCCTGTGCCTGGGAAGGCCTGCAAAAAGTCATCGTGTCAGCTGCTTTAATGTATTAAATGCACTGTAACTCTGAGCCAGGTGTGAAGAACTGTTGCCCAATTCAACAGTGCCAGCATTCCAACTTTGTAAACCACAACATCTGGAACGGACTTTCCTGTGGTGATGCCCTTGAAGAGGTGGATGAAAGCTACTACATCAGTTTGCACATTCTGATCACTTTCCAGTGTCGCAAGAGAGATTTTTACTTATATAATAGTCCTAGAGTATGCAACTGGTAAAACCAGAGGCTACATCCAGTATTACTGGTAAGAGACATTGTTCACCCACCAATGTTGTACATGTATGAAAATGGTGTACTGTATACTTTAACACGCCCCATACTTTGTATTGGAGAGTACAATAATATAAATCCTAAAAGCACCACTATTTTAGCATAATAAAAGAAAGTCCAAAGAGCTCCTGTATAGACTACTCCAGATAACTTTTCTTCTTTGATACTTGTAGCTTATTGTAATTTTTTTTTAAGAAATCCAAGGTCATTATCATTGTATTGTACAAAATCAGCGCTTTGATTAACACAGCTATATAGTTTTTTGTTTTTTTTTAATTTTTGAGAAACCTGTGGAGACAGAGATCTTGTCTTTAAAATATGATAGTCCTCAGTATAATGTCTTAGATCTATTTTCGTTTCTACTTCATAACTGTAATTTTGATACTGTTTTGAATCAGTCCACCCAAGTGAAAGGGTCGTTCCACCACAAAAAGTGATCACGACCCACAGGTTGAGAACCACTGCTCTAAACTGAGGCATTTCTCTTAAGATATAGTTCAGCATATTGTTAGATGCACAACTCCTGTTGTTATTGTGGTTGGGTGCCGTCGAGAGGGTTTGGCTCATAGCAACTCTATGCACAATATAATGAAATGCTCCCCAGTCCTCTGCCATCCTCACAGTGGTTATTTTGCTTGCACTAATTGTTGCAGCCACTGTGCTAACCATCTTTTCGGGGGCTGCCTCTCTTTGCTAGCCTTCTACTGTACCAACATCTGTGTCTTCCTCTAGGACAGTTGTTCTCAACATTCTTAATACCATGACCTTTTTATACAGTTCCTCATATAGTGGTGCTTCTCCAACCATAAAATTATTTTCATTGCTATTTCATAGCTGTAATTTTGCTATTTTTATGAATCGGGCCACCCCTGTAAAGGGGTTATTTCCTAATCCCCAACCCCCCCCCCAATAAAATGATTTTTAAAATAA